AATGAAAGTTGCATGTCATTTGATCTATCAATCTGGCCCTGAAGATACAAAGGAGAGCCCTCTGCCACCCCATCCTCCCCATACCAAAAATAAATTTTAAATTTGAAAGTTAACCGAATGATTGATGTTTGTATGTGGCCAGATACCTCAGGGAAATACAGTAGCTTATTTGAAATCAGTCATAAAGAATAAATCTCTTTGAAATCATAAATCCTAACATACACCCTCCAAATTAAATCTTTAGTGTTTCATGACCCTTATTAGACTCAATATGTAATTGTTGATCCTAGCCATCATTTCTGTATAGCAGTAAAATGCATTACATACTTTCATCTGATCCACAAAACAACCTTGTGAGGTAGGTAGTGAAAGTATTATTGTCCCCAAACTACAGAAGAAAGTAAAGCTAGGAAGACACAAGTCTTCTGATTTTTTACTTCCATGCTACCAAGATTTTTCCAGGCTAATTATACATTATTCCTTTTCATGAGCCCTGCAGTCCTGCCAAACTTGCCTTTCCTTCCATTTCTCATGTATGATTCACATGCATAGGCATTCCCCCCATGTCTTGAATGTACTTCCTCTTTTACTTTACCCATTAGAAGAATCCTTAGTGTCTTTAAAAGTACAACTCAAGGGGCAGCTAGGTGGCTCTGAGGATAGGGCTCCAGCCTTGGAGTCAGGAGGACCTGAGTTAAAATCTGGCCTCAGACACTTGACACTTAACTAGCTGTGTGACCCTGGGCAAGTCACTTAACCCCAACTGCCTCACCAAAAAAAAAAAAGTACAACTCAAATGTCACCTCCAATTTAAGGCTTCTATTGGTCTCCCCCAACTACTGGGGCCTCCTCTCTCCCCCTTCCCCTGTTACTATTTTTTTTATATATAGAACCCATCCAGGTTAGCTGAGCAAGAAACACTGACACTATGGGAGCATCCTTTCAACTCCTCTCCCTGATTTCTCCCTCCCTCCACCCTTAGCTGTAGCTTGGGCTGTTTCACAGCTATCTGAACATGCAGGCTGCAGGAATAGATTCCACCAGGAGTAGCCTCCCATCTTGCCTTCTACCTTTGTTCAGGCTACTTTACTACTCAGAGGGCTTGGACAGGTTGTACTTAACAACCCCATTCCTTATGATGAGATGGAAGACTATCAGCCCTTTTCATTTACCCTGCCTGTGTATATCCTGGAGTCTCCTAGATGATTCAGTGGATAGTTGGGCCAGGAGTCAGGAAGACCTGAATTCAAATGTGGCCTGAGACACTAGCTCTCGGTAAGTCATTTAACCTCCTTTTCAGTTTCCTCAAATGTAAGAAATGGGGATAATAATGACACCTACCTCCCAAAGTTCTCATGAAATATTGTAAAGTGCCCAGCATGTAGTAAGCACTTAATAAAGTTTTATATGTAACCTAAAGAGTTCTGGGCCTTGTTATCAGTCTCATGGTACACCCTTAGGACTTCTGGACCTTTCCATCTGACCTACAGTTGAATTTTCCTTTTTATGTTGTCTCATTCCCCCCTCTCCACCTTGAGAGTAGGAATTGTCTTGATTTTTCTGTTTGTGCTTGGCCCATAATAAGCTCTTAATAAGTGTTTTTTCATTCATTCATCTAGTTTTTATATACTTAGAAGTGTATGTATAATTTCCTTCTATTGAAATCAAATTCCATAAAGGCAGGTACTGTTTCATTTTTGTCTTTGCATACTTAGCACTTGGCACAGTGCCTGGCCCATAATGGGTACTTTGTAAATGCTTGTTAGTTTGGTAGAAAGAAAGTAAAATATTTGGGAGACTATGGTGCAATCAAAAGATCTTCAAATTGGAGTGACAGAATATGAGTTCAAACCCCAGCTCTACATGTGTGACCTTGAACAAATCATTTAATATCTCTGGACTCCAATTTCCTCATCTGTAAAATGAGGGGATTGGATTAGATGGACCGTACGGTCCCTTCTAGCTCTAGTGCTATCATCCTATGATCCAGTAAAGATAGTTATAACTGTTCAGAGACTAAAAATATTTCATTTCATTATATAAGAAGTACCCCCCAGGGAAATGTGGATAAACTTTGTACTGATATTTTAACTTTCTAACTGCAGTCAAGTTTATCTCTACTACAGAACAGTATACATTATGGAAATTTACAGATAATCCAAAACTTTTTATTTTAGTTGATGGTTCCAACCTCCTCCATGATGTCTTGTCTCTCCTTCTTTGTATATTAAAGGGATTCCACAAATATTGAGGGATTGATTTGGGTAGAGCTGCTCAACTGTAAACTTTATTGATTTCAGTTTCTGTTCTTTTAATTTACTCTTCCCACACTCAAATAGAGGTATTAAAGAGCAATGAAATAGAGATCAGCAAAGAGAGGAAGACAAGTCAGCCTAAATAATTGGAAAAACATTTATAGACAACAAAATGGTTTTCTCAGGTATTTGAAGCAGAGAATAGAAAAGAGAAATTGCCATTTTTAATAGTGATATGTCCTTTGATTTCAGTAAAGTTTTGAGTGGGTGGAATGGAAAGAGTGTGGTGATGAAGGTAGGCTAGAGGCAAAGGTTCTGAGACTTTAGGAAGTTGAGATAGTAGGAGACCATGATATTCAAAGGGAAGAGAGATTATGGTAAAGAAAGAAGCTGTGAGCCATGTACTGAAGTAACTAGAGGAAGTGACCTTGAGAGCTATGGATAATAGGCAATAAACATCTGGACAAGATGAAGTAAATTCTAAAAGAGGCAAAGCGTATGTTGAGTTTGAAAGTGGCAGTGGGGAGCAAGGAGTAAGTTTTTGTTTTGGTTTTTTTGGCTAGGCAGTTGCCTAGGGTCGACAAAGCTAGTAAGTGAAGTGGCTGAGGCCAGATTTGAACTGGGGTCCTCCTGACTCCAGGGCTGGTGTTCTATTCACAGTGCCACCTAGCTGCCCAGCGCAAGGAGTAAATGAACTCATCTAGGACCTTGGAGAGGATGCCAGGATGGTAGCCAGTTTCAGTAAGCAGCAGAGGAGGGAATGAATGAGAGGAAGATATGGATGACAATTTAGCATTAGTTATCAATTTGAAAAATAAATAATATAGGAGGGTTTCAAGAGAACAGAGGAAAATAGGGCTTAGGGCTTAGTTTTTTCTCTCGCCCATCCCTTTGCTTTCACCCCTTTCTCATCTCATACTTTCCAGAGGGATGTGTCAAGGGCAGTTGACACTCTTAGGAATGTAGGACTGAGAGAAGAGTACGATGGCCATGGAACGATGTGGGTGGCGAGAGGAGGGTGTGCCAGACAAATGATGGTGTATGGTGGGTAAGAAGCAGCCCTCCTATGACATGTAGGGCAAACTCCCACCTACTTTTTTGTTTCTGGCTCTGGGACCATCTAACCTCTGAGGTGCCTTCTGGTTCTAAGTTTATGATCCTGTTAGCTTTATCTGGATTTCCCAACAATACCTCAAAACTAGTATGTCCAAAACTAAGTTTACCTTCCCCTCTAAACCTCCTTCTGACTTCTCTCTTTCTATCAGTGGTTCCATGTTGGACACTTTGGGGTTATCTTTGATTCTTCTTCTTCTCTCTCATATCTGTCCCCTCTCTTATCTCATTGCCATCCCCCAAATACAGCCCCTTGTGACTGGACTATGGCAAGAACCTCCTTACTGTTGCCTTCAATTTACCTTTTTCAGGCCACCACCAGACTAATCTCTATGATCTGTCTTCATGTGACTCACTGTTTTGCTTGCAAGTTTTCAGTGGTACCCTATAGCACGTGGCATTCAAGGCCCTCTCTGACCCTTTACTATCCTGCTTTTCCAACCTTATGTTGGTTGCCTTCTTGCCATTTTTTCTCTAGCAACTGAACTGTATTACTGTTCTTTGTGCCTCCCACACATTGGTCTTTCCTAATTCTAGTTATTGTTTATTCTGTTCTTTAAGTCTGCCACATCTACTCCCCCTTTTCTAGTTTATTTCCTACCTACCCTCTAAATCCTTCTTTAATTCACTTACCATCCAGTATCTTTATTATCGTCATCCAGTACTAGATTTTGTCTCAGAGGACCTGTGTTCACATCCTGGATGTACCACCTAGTGACTGTATTGATCTTGGGCAAATCAATTAAACTCTCTGGGCCTCAGTTTCCTTATCTATAAAATGAAGGGGTTGGACTAGATGACCTTCCTCCAAGGTCCCTTCTAAGCCTAAGTCTGTGATCTTGTGTTTATAAGTTGTGCTACTATAAGACAGGGACCATGTCCTGTGGGAGCTGTGTACAGCATTGTGCACATAAGAGTTTAATGTTTTTTGAATGCGCTGTGTTTCTTAATCTAGTGAACAGAGAAAATATTCCATCTATCTACTTTCTCCCAACTTAATAGTAGGTTGTAGAAATTAATCTTTTCATGCTTTGTAAATTCAAAGAATTGTTGTATTGTTTTAGTAATATCCCTCGTCTTTGCTGGACTTCTATAATGTTTAGTGGGGAAAGGAAGCTGAACTCTCTGAAAAACCAATCTTCTGATTTTATTTTGTAAATAAATTGTATTGAGTTCTTGTAGTTTGCAAACACCTGAAAAGTTGGCTAAGGCTAGACTTCCTCCTGCCTTCCCGTGTTTGAAATGCAATTTCGTGCTATGCTACCATTATCATGTTTTTTGTTTTGACAAATTGATCATGTTATTTAGTCAATTTCAATCATGTCTGACTCTTCATGATCCCATTTGGGGTTTTCTTGGCAAAGATACTGAAGTGATTTGCCATTTCCTTCTCCAGCTCATCTTACAGAGAGGAACTGAAGCAAACAGGGTTAAGTGACTTGCCCAGGGTCACCCAGCTAGTAAGTGTCTAAAGCCAGATTTGAACTCAGGAGGATGAGTCTTTCTCACTTCAGGCCTGGCATTCTATCTATTTAAATTTGACCATATTCAAATCTATTTTAATCCTTCTGTTCTTCATTTGAGCCACAGAGCTGATAAACACTTTTCCCAATGCAATTGAACTGCAGACTCTCCTACTGTATCACCTTTATTTTATTAAAAGCTATTGATTCAAAAGAATCAAATAAATATTTGGCTTCCATGTTGCTCAAATACAGTCCCAGACACACTAAATTCTATCAGTTAAGAGAGGAAAAAATTCAGTTTAGCAACAGAAGTGAAAAAAAAATACATACAGCAACTCTACTTCAAAAGTTTATATACAGTGTAACATTGTCTTAAATACATTAATATATAAAATTGTTTGGTCTATAGATTTTATTAAAATGGTTTCTTTCTAAACATTATCAACATTCCATTTGTATCCTTTTTTTGCAAATCAAATAGTCCTTCATGCACAAAGTTTCTTCCAAATTTGGGGGGTTTTTGGTCCTTTGTTAAAGAATCAATGGTTGATGGAATACAGGTTGGAACAGCAATAGATCTGCCTTTATCTTCAGACCTCCCGAGTATCAGGTAAAGCTTCTCTAAATAAATACCCCAGCAGCTTTCCTTTCTAATTCTTACTTCCAGGCAAACAATCTGTATTATGAATGTGTTGTATATTTCCATGGTGAAAAGTTCCAAAATAATTTGAGCATTGGATAGGGATTTTAGTCTTCTGATAACTAGGCTCTTCAAAAGAGCCAAACTTGTTTCTCTTCATCCAAAGAGGACAAACTGATGAAAGCATAGGCAGGAAACTGAGATGGTAAGGAAATCTGGAACACTAATCAAAATTTGAAATAGCAAATTACTGAAGATATAAAGGAGGCCTCCATGGAAATCTGGAAGGCCTGTGAATTCCAATATAACTTTAACTCAGTTGAAGATGTTACTGGACAAGTTCCAAGGCAGATTCCACAGAGTAATGCCTTGCTCCCATATCTCTACTTTTTTTTTTTGCTTTGTTTTATATAGAGCCAATAAGGGTGTAATGCTTGAATATAATATTGTGTGATGAATGGAAAACCAGACTGATGGGACAGTAACCTTGCTAAGTACTTGCTAATCAAACTATTGTCTCCATTAGAATATTTAATACCCAGACCCTCATTTGAGAAGCTATACATATACAGATTTCCATCTTTAGCTTTACCTTTTCTCTCCTAGGATTCTGCCCTTGTGTTCTACTTCACTAATTATTCTCAAGGACACCTCAGAAGACAGTGAAATGTGAGTGGACTGTATGTCTGTTGGGGCAGGGGGGAGGGGGTGTATAGTGTCACCAGCTCTAGAAGGGGAAATTGAATCTACTTAAAAGGAGAGTCATCATGCCATAAGTAGAAGAGATGATTTTTGAAACAATATAGATAAAACTATGAAGTATGAAAGAAATTTGATTTGGTAGCACCCCCCCACCCCAGGCCCACCTCTGCCTTTTATTCACAATTCCTACTGGATTCTTCCCTTTCCCCATTAAGATGCTAACAGATAAGTGGTTAGCTGCCAAGGGCTTAACCTATGAGCTAAGTGAGAGAAAATCAAGCCTGACCAATACTTGGCCAGCCAGTGCTCCCACCACAAAATACTTTCCCAACTTTGGTTTTGTGTTGCACAGTTACCTCTAGCCTCGAGGGCTAGAGGAGCACTGATCTCTGCTGATGGTCTAAGAGTTGGACAGGTGCTCTCTTATTGGCCAAACCACCTGCTTACCACCACCTTCTTGGCCCTGTCTACTTCAGTGGCCAGATACATGCCCCCCCCCTTTATGTTGTATTCTATCCCCCTAGGAACATAAGCTCCTAGAGGGCAGGAATTATCTTTCTTTTTGCTTGTATCTATATTCACCATGCTTAGCCAGTGAAAGAGCATAATAGAAACTAGTTTCCTTCCTCCTCACTCTCCCAAGAAAGGGGAGTACTTAATATTTACCATCAGAAAGACTGTCAAGCCTGGTCTGTAGGATCATTCAAAGCCCAAGAATCCCCAAGGTTTCTAGAGCCACAGCTGTTATGGAAAAAGTAGGAGGCAGAATTCCCCAAGTGGAGACAGAACTTCTTAGAATCTTTTTAGCACTCCTTAGAAACAAATGTGAAAAAGACAGTCCTCTTTCTGTTCATTTGGTATGGAAATGTGAGTTGCTTGTGGTCTCAGGAAGAGAAGACAAGGGTGGTACTTCAGGGGACATCTGTAGCATTCAGAGGCAGCATGGTGTGAAGAGGCAGCATGTGAAGTGGGCACTAAACAAAGAGCTGGAAGAACTGGGTTCAAGTGGTAGGTAGCTATAAATAATTCATTGAGCCCCTCTGAACCTCAGTTTACTAATCTGAAATACAAGGATAAGAATATTTGCACTATTCATGTGTTTGGGAGAGGTGGGGTATATTCCAAACTGTAAAGCACTCTATAAATGTGAATTATCCACTAAGAATCCCTTCTCTCTTGAAGACCACTTTCTTAATACTATTTTAGAACATGTAATGAACATTCTTTTCCTACATAGATCCCCAAAGCAAAAATCCTGGTAGACAGAAAAGAAAGAAAAGGCAAGATTGCCCTACATGTATGTTCTTGATTTTCTCAGAAATCCCCTGAGCAAAACACTAATACCTTTAGCAAGTCCCTGGAGAAGTTTTCAGTTTGTTTGTTTGTTTACAGAACTTTGCCATTAAGTAGGAGGATTCCAGGCAAGTGGAATATAGAAAGAATCCTTTGCTTCATATTTTTCTTGGACCTCTTCAATTCCCCCTTAAAACTGAGGAGCAAGCCTTCCCACAAGTGAACTAAAACCAGGATGAGAGTCAGGGTTCTGTGTTTCAGTGTTCTCAGAAGTGGTGAACCAACTAGACTGGGCAGGTAAGTGAACATCTGAATAATCCACATCTTTGTGGGCCCTGCTTGCATATTTGCATAAACGTAGTAACTCAACAGGTGTCTGTACAGGTGCATAGGAAATCATGAGCAAAACCCTATTTCTTATTGGAAATAGTAAATCAGAGCAGTGATGCCAAATAGACTCTAGCATGCTCATCCCTCTCCAGGTATCCTGGCTAAGAGATAGGTAGGAATGAGCTTCTCCTGCCCATTCCAGTCTTAAATCATAATGAAATGCCTCTTTGTAGATTACTTAGTTCACATATCATCCTTATTTGGTGCCCTGTTGAAACAAAGAACTCAGATGGGCACGTCCTTTGCAATGTTTGTAGTCATCTCAATGACCTCTCTCCCTGTCCTGAAGGGATTGGGTGGCTGGTGACTGAGGTCCAAGTAACCAGGAGTATCCCAAGACTCTGATCATCAGGAAAGTATATGGGAGGAGGGTCCATCTCAACTCAGACAGTTTGGAAGGCTCTGCTCTGATTGGGGACTGTGCTGGGTATGGTCCCTGCTTTGGATAGGGTGGCATGATGGACTTTCTTTGGCTCTGGGCCTCTTGCTTCTGACCCCACCAAGCTGTAGGGGTGGGAGGCTGCCCCTGGCTGGGCTGCAGCCTCGCTGGATAGTGTCCTCTGACTTCGGGAGGCACTATTGGCTGTGGAGCGGGTGGAGGAAGAGCCAGAATGGGAACTCCTGGAACCCGAGGATGAGGAGCCAGGTTTCACAAGTCGAGCTTTAGGTGCCTCAGCATCTTCTCTGCAGACAGAAATAAGAGGGGATTAAAATTCAGGAGAGAAAGCCTGAGTCTAAGTGCAGAGATGCTCTTCTCAAATCAAATCACCATGCATTTATTAAGCATTTACTTTCTGCCTGACACTATGCTAAGTGCTGGAGATACCAATAAAAGCCAAAGTAAAAAGAACAAACCAGTCCCTGTTCTCAAGGGGCTCACAGTCTAATGGCTCACATACAAACAGCTATGTACAAACAAGATATAAACAGAATAAATTGGAAATAAATCTCAGAGGGAGTCACTAGCATTAAGAGGGGTCAGGAAAGGCTTTTTGTAGAAGGTGGGAATTTAGCTAGGAGGAAGGAAGCCAGGAGGCAGAGATGAGGAGGCAGAGAATTCCAGGCATTTGAGACAACCAGTGGAAATGCCCAGTCAGAAGGTGGAATGTCCCGTTTAAGAAACAGTAAGAGGCCCTATCACTGGATCTGATTCATGGTATCTAGAGGGGAGTCAGGTATCTCAAGACTAGAAAGGTTATGGGCCAGGTTATGAAGGGCTTTAAAATGCCAAACAAAGGATATTCTATTTGATTGTGGAGATAAAGGGAGCCACTGGAGTTTATTTAATAGGTGGAGGTGACATGATCAGACAAGCATTTTAGGAAGATCTATGTGACAGGTTAGTAGAGAACAGAGGAGTGGGAAAGACCTACCCCAAAGACATTATGTGATGAGGGCAAGAATCTGGGTAGTGACAGCATGCAGAAAAGAGAAAGGAATGTATGAGAAAGATATTCTCAAGTGACTGCTTTCTGCTGAGGGGTGTTGGTTGTGGGCTTACCCCTAAAAAGGGTTACAGGAATATGTGGGGGCATTGTGCATTAAGGTAAGAGAGAAGGTGTTAGTGAGGTTAGAGGGGAAATTTTCTATCAATGTGTTGAGGAGTCTGTTGACAGGAGGATGCCTGCATGTTTATGTGTGTGTATCTATTGGGAGAATGGAAAGAGATCAAGAGATCTAATAGGAAATGTTGATAAACACATAGGAAAACAGAGAAAAAGCCTAAGAAAGGTAATACAGAAGCAAGGTCACATTTCTGTATGGAGCTTTAAATGGGACTGGATAGGTTCTTTTAAGTGCACTGTGTAAGTTTCCTTTGAACAGAGGTAGAAGATTATGATAGGAAAAGGAATTAAGTCTTATGCTGTTTTGCCTCAGAGAGCAGAATGGATAATACAATGATCCAGATGAGAGGGCCTGAACCAGTTTTGTGGCAAAGTGAATATTGAGAACAGAACATATTTAAGAGATGTTAGGGAAGGAGAATAAACCAGACTTGGAGCAACTGATTGGATGTGGGGGTTAAGGCAGTGGAAAGAGTCAAGGATAACCCTGAGGTAATAAGCCTAGGTGATTGGCAGGCCTTTCTTCTTTTTCACCTTTTTTAAACAGAAAAAGAATCAAAACATCTAGCAAAGGTTTGGGAATTTTTTTTTACCTGATTTCATTGGGTCTCTCTTCTTCTTCATATCTTTTCTTGTCTTTTCTTCGGATGAGCAACCATATCAAGAGGAAAATCAGTAGGGCTCCAGCCACCATGCCCGTCACTGCACCCGCAATCATGCCAATGCTTTGTACATCTGTTTCCTCAGAAAGCAGAATCAGAACTGGACATGAGCTGAGAAAACCAGATACTTAGAAAACACCAACCTCAGATTGGGTTATGGAGTGCTTCGCTTTTGATTATAAAACAACTACCACCATTCTTTTCTGGGGTGAGTCACTACCATTTTCTATGTTTTTGCAATCAAGATCATTAAAAAACTGAGCTTTGGAGCAAGTGTTCTAGGGATTGGTAAATTAATAACCTTCTGCTTATATCCTTTTCCTTTCTGGTTCTCTTTCTTCTCTCTCCTTCCCCCTATAATAAAAATGAATTAAAATGGAGTCCTTGGCTTAGACTCAGGGTGAGATTTAGCCACAGGAACTTAGAAGTAGGATTCAGGCAGGGCTAGGAGCTCACTTAACTGCTTGGTATTTCTCTTCCCCAATTTATACTCAGAGCCTCTAAATTTCTACATCTAGCCTAACAACAACAACTATAATAATAATAAATAGTCATGATAGTTCATGTTTACACTGTATTCTTTAGTTTATGAAGTACTTTATTCACAACAACTTGAGAGGGGCTGAAGGAATTGAGGGGATTGAAACAGCAAGTGTTAGTGGAAATTGGGTGAACCCTACTGACTTCATCTTATGACTCAATTCTGGAGCTAGCTCAGTTCCCTTTTATCCAATTATGGGTCTAACCCAATTTTTTTTTTAATGTGAGGCAATTGGGGTTAAGTGACTTGCCCAGAGTCACAAGCTAGTGAGTGTTATATATCTGAGGTCGTATTTGAACTCAGGTCCTCCTGACTCCAGGGCCAATGCTCTGTGCCACCTAGCTGCCCCCCAGATTTTGTCTTGTGAGAAAAGCTTATTCAATTGTGAGAATTGGGAAAAAACCTTATTGTGTCGTTTGAACCTAGCCCTTCCTGTCTGGAAAACTGAATCCCCTCTACTTGCTGTTTAGAGACCTTTAACTAAGGACCAGAAACTTAGATCCAAAGACTGATGGAAGAAATTTTCACAGTTGTATATTTCAAGCAACCCATATGTCTTATCTGAAAACCAGACCCAAAATGATCAATCAGTTATTGTTTCCATGTTCCTTTGCTTACAGATACTTGGGAGGAGTGAGACACCGCCTTTCCTGATTTCAGGGAATTGCACACCTGTTCACTCTCCTCCTCCCAACTTGGAAAGTCCCTTTCTTCCAGTTAGAAATCAGATTACCTGATGTTGTGTTGTTTCCTTTTAATTAGTTGGTCTTATTTGATTAATTGCTTTTAATGTGTAAGAATCTGTGTCCCCCTCTGTTCTGGGTTCAGGCCTAAGGTAAGAAGATCTGGGCCCTGTTTGTTGAACAATTGCCATGCATTGCTTAATAAATCAATATGCTTGAACTATCAAACCTTTGTTTCCTCAGTCTTTTCATCTTTCACCTGCCATAAGGGGTAGATAGTTTGAGATTTATTATTCCCATTTTATAGATGTGAGAGCAGAAACTTAGAGAGGTAAAGGCAGATTACATCTATTAAACTGTTTGGGTTTGGAGGCTCCCTCAACCAAGAATTTCACCCTACTTCTGAAATGCCTGGAGCTTCTATTAAGGCCATCAGTTATCCATATGTCCTCAAATGGTTTATCTCAAGGTTTACTGTAGTAGTTAGAATCCCTATGTCCATGGAGTCATCATATATACTCTGATATCCCTTTTAAAAAATACCAGCAATCAATTGCTCTTACAAGGCTCACACTGGAAGACCTTCAGATCATGAGGCTAACAAACTGCTTACTATATCAAGCAGACCCTGAGAGTCCCCTACATGGTTAGAGTTTGGACTTCCTGTTAGAAAGTCTAAAGCTGACAAACTGACTATGGCAAATTATTAAAAAGGCACATCCAGAACTGTATCTTTAGGGACACTGTGTGTTTGTGTGTTATAATTTATGATTTTTAAACAATTAACAAGTATTTTTTTCTTTTCCTTCTATTTCCTTCCTTCTGCCCAAAAATCTGCCCCCCCAGCAATAAATAAGGATGTCTTTGTAAAACAAACAAACAAAAAAACCCCTCTTTTATTCTTGTCCTGAATGAGTAGTGGTATAGGCCAGCCATAAATAAATAAATGAATGAATGAATGGATGAATGAATAAATAAATAAGGAATGTTAATTTTCTTTGGCTCCCTGTGGCCCTCCTGGGGAAGGGTAGACAGGCTACTAAATACATTTGATGGATTGGCAAATTCTTCACCCTTGTTTGCAAGTCCACTCCCAGGCTCAGGTAGAATAAATCTTCCCTAGTCACCTGGGAAATTATGAAATCATTCTAGGAAATAGAGCTTTGATCTTGACCTTGTTAATGCTCAGATTTTCTGTCCCTGAAACATAGTACTTGCTGCAAGGAAACTCAAGAGAGCAAGACTCCCTGCTTCCGCTGCTGCCTTCCCACACTTCCATTGCTTCCGCTGCCCTCCCATACTCACACTGCACAGTCACTCGAACCACACAGCTTTCTTTCCCCGCCTCATTGCCGGCTGTGCATTGATACAGTCCAGAGGAAGATAAAGTGAGATTCTGCAGCAACACACGCCCAGGGTTTTCATAGTCTTAACACAAAACAGAAAGACAATTTAAAGTTCTTTCTAGGCAGGCTCATGGCTACCTAAATTTGCACTTTAAGCACTGTGGGCATATTAATAATTAATAAATACAAGTTGATTGAATCATCAATAAAATTCACTACTAACCAATGAGGAGAAACTGGGGGGTATTTTTATTTTGGGTACCTTCCTAAAATTAACAAGGGATAGTGTGCTTCTAGAGAATACCAAGTAAGACAAAATAAGAATGACTTGGATTGCTCTATCCTTTCAATAAAAGTAATTTGAATTTACAGAGTTTTATTGTTTGCAAGGTTAGTTCCTCATAACAACCTAAGAAAGTAGGATTATTATCGACATTTCAGTATTCCTATCATAAGGCAGCTAGGTGGGGGAGTGGATACAGTGCTGGACTGGGAGGCAGGAAGAGTGGAGTTCAAATCTTGCCCAGGACACTTAATAGTTTTGTGACTGTAGGCATGTCACAACATACCTTCTGTACCAGTTTCTTCATCCAAAAAATGGGGATAACAATAGCACCTACCTTACAAAGTTGTATGTAACATACATAAAGTGCTTCGCAAACCTTAAAATTGTACATAAATGGTAGATTATTATTATATTATTATATATTATATTATTATAGGTAAATATTAGAGAGGTTATGCTACTGACCCCAAATCATACAGATAGTTCATAGCAGAGCTGGGATTTGAACCCAGATCTTCTGGCAACAAGTCCAGGGCTCTTTCCACTGTCCTCTGAATATAACATACCACTTTCATGAAGAAGAGAGGGATGAGCTATTATGTGTCCATTTTATAGATGGAGTAATGGACTTCCTGAAACTTGCTCAAGTCATATAGTAAATTGCTGGTAAATACAGATTTAGAATTCAGTTTGTTTGACTCTGAATCCTACACTCAATCTGCTAGTTTGATGGGAAAGTAGAAAGATGACTTACCAACCCGTGATTTCGGGGGCAGGTGTTCATCTTCTCCCTCCTTTTCCTTGATGCGCTGCCAGTGGTACACAATAGGCTTTGTGCCTGAAGATGACTCACACTGCAAGGTCAGGTCCCCTCCCTCAGTCAGCACTCCTTCTAGCTCACATTTAGGTTTCGATGGTTTCACTAGCATCATAAGAACAAGCATCATACAGTTAGCCACCAAAGATCCCAAAGGGTAAGACTCTGGGATGATGATTAGTCAGTCTGGCATGGAACCCAGCCGTGCTGTATAACTCCCATGATGTGGCTTTCCCTCTCCTGCTCTCCCTGTGTATCATGGTACCCTATTTCCCCTCTTTCATAGTAGAGACAGCCCCTCCATTTTTCCCTCCTCAAAGCCTAGAAATAATTTTAGAAGAGATGTTGCCAGACATTTAATAATACCGTGAGTGTAGGTTTAATCACTGAAAATGAGCCAGTTTAGATAAAACTAGTTTTCTCTATAAGGTGAGTTAGCTCAGCTGGTTATAGGGCAATTAAATCAATAAACATTAATTAAACACCTACTTTGTGGCAGCTAGATTGTGTAGTGGACAGAGTGCCTGGACTAGAGTGCCTGGCCTGGAGTCAGGAAGAATAATATTCCAGAGTTCAAATCTGGCCTCTGACACCAGCTGTGTGACCCTAGGCAAGTCACTTAACCCTATTTGCTTCAGTTTCCTCATCTGTAAAATGAACTGGAGAAGGAAATGGCAAACTACTCCAGTATCTTTGCCGTGAAAACCCTAAATGGGGTCATGAAGAGTCAGACATGACTGAAATTACAGAACAACACTGCTCCATGGTTGTGTCTACCTCACCTCATTAGCTGTTCAGTCATATTAAGCTAATGAGGTGAGGTAGACTCGAAGTAGATAGAGCAAGCAGGATGCAGGATGTGACCAGCCAGAAAAGTGATCAAAGAAGACTGCACTGAAGCCCCTCACTATGGATTTATCTGTGTGCTTTCACAAAGCATCCCCAATTCCAGAACAACTTTTCCCCTCCCCTCTCCTATTCTCTTTGCTTATCTGTATGTTAAAGGCACCCCCGGACTACCTGATATCCCAGGCATTTCGGAGCCATGCTTGCTCCTCCCATTCTCTTGTCCCTTTCCCCCATTCCATAAAATTGTATTTAACCCAGACACCTAACCCCCAAAATCACGTTTGTCTCCTATGGGAAGCAGGGCTACACTGTCTCCCTTATGGGAGCAGGTCTGCTTGGGTGCATCACTCCAATAAACACCTTTCTTTACATTGGAGACTGCCCAAGTGAATTCCCTCAGACACTAGAACCCACCTGCTGTTCCTTATCATTTCAGGTGGCACCCCAACATTTTGGGGTGCCCCTGAACTCATCACAATGACGAAAATGTGCCAGGAACTACATTAAATGCTGAGGATACAGAAAGAGCCAAAAGACAAGTCCCTGCTCCTCTAGGAAATAACAATCTAATAATGCTAAGATTTAGAATGACAATTAAGAATAAAGAAATGATGAACTCTTGGTCTGGGAAGAAGAGCACGTGATAGAGGCAAGCAAAAACATATTTGCCTCTACTCTTGCAAATCCAATAAAAAAAAGAGTAAAGACAAAGCAGATTGTGAAGAGGAGAAAACTGCCTATTACAATGAGAATACTAGCAATAGACATGCTTGGTAAGAGGAGAGAAACTGATGAAAGTAGCCAACAATAAAACCCATGGAGTCAGATGTCTGTCTGTCTATTGATCGATCTATCTATCTATCTATCTATCTCCCTATCTACACACACACACACACACACACACACACACACGGCATGCACAAACAAAACACAAAATATGCACACATAAACAAAATATAGGTAACAAGCCAGGTGAACCAGAATGCCTAAAATAAAAGAGGCAAATTTGATTTTATAGGTATCACTGACACTTGGTCAGGGGGTATCTTTGACTGGAATAAAGCTTTGAAAGGGAAAAGCTTATTCAAAAGGATATGGTGATGTAAAGTAATCCAAGAACCAGAAGTCTAGTAGGGAGAATTTTGTCGAAGATGAATGAAGCAAGAAATAGTATTCATATTTGTCACTGGAATAAGTAAACAACAGGCCACTTGGTGAAATGGATATATATGGAGAAAATAAATGAAGAGTTTGGAAAACATAACATTATCCTGGCACAAGGGCACAATTTGGAAATCATTGAAGACTTCATTCATCTAGATATCTGTTAACTAACTAAATAAATTCTGCCAAAAGTAGAGTAGCTAGTTACTTCTTGTTGTTCAGTTCAGTCTGACTCTTTTGACGCCATTTGGAATTTTCTTGGCAAAGATACTGAAGTAGTATGCCATTTCCTTCTCCAGCTCATTTTACAGATGAGAAAACTGAGGCAAACAGGGTGAAGTGATTTGCCCAGGGTCACACAGCTAGTAAGTGTCTGAGGCCAGATTTGAACTCAGGAAGATGAGTCTTCCTTACTCCACAGAGTATACTTCCATTCATCAAAGGATAGAAGATTTGACAAAACGCCTTAGGGCTACAGACAAGATGGATGAGGAGAGAATCCTGATAAATCCAATTCTGACTAAACAATTTCTTCATTTTCTACACATAGCAGAAGAACATATATTTGAAAAGTGTATGGGTGGGATTGTTAAACCAACCTCTTTTTAATCTACAGTGCATTTGCGTCCACTTAAAGAATAGATAAGATATTGACCTATATATAATAATATGTAACATATATTAATATATTGATATAATTAATAATATATAATATAATAATAATAAATAATGTTTTCCCTTTCAAAGTTTTATTCCAGTCAAAGTTCCCCTGTAAGTCTCAGGGATGCCTATGAGATCATATCTGCCTGTTTTGTTTTAGGCACTCTAGCCTAATAAATTAATAGACACGCTGGGCAGTACTAAGGTAAGACTCCTCCCCTGTAAATGGGTGAATAGCTGAAAGGAAAGAGTTAGCTCTTCCTCTCCTCATCCATCTACTGAGGCCAATACTGAATCAAGCACGATATAAGATTAGGGAAGGCACCCTATTCAAATGTGCACATAGAAAATATGTATTTCCTTGGGCAGCGATGGACTAGAAGAATTGTAGGGTTTAATTTTACAGATGAAATGTGGTTCCTGACTTTGCCACTAGGTTAACTGACCATATCGGAAATCACACTTGTTTGCCATTTCCTTCTCTGTAAAATGAGGGGTTGGACTAGGTGACCTCTAAGGTCTCCCCCACCCCTCAATTTCAACACTATGACTGAAAATCGGCCAGTCTGTCATAAAGCATTTATTAAGTACTTACTATGTACCAGGGATTGTGCTAAGCACTGTGATATGAGGAGAGGCAAAGCATAGTCCCTGCACTGGGGCTAGGAGATCACAATCTAAGGAATCCTGCAAGGTAATAGATAGAATGCTGGACTGACAGGCAATCAGAAGACCTGGCTTGGAATCTCTGTTCAGACTCTAGCTGTGTGAGTCTGGGCAAGCTCTCTGAGCTTCAATTTCCTTATCTATAAAATGGGGATAATGGTAGCATCAGACTCATAGGGTTTTTGTAAGAGACTGATAATTTATGTGATGTGCTTTGCCAACCTTAAATCATTACATAAATGGGGGCTTTTATGATGGTTTGTCAAATGCAGCTGACAGAAGCTGTCCAGGTTCCCATTCCCAGACCCATGAATTGCCTAAGGCTGACCAGACATTATCACTCCCAGCCTCTATTACTTAAATGTCCTAAACTTTCCTTTTAGAGATTCCCAAGGTTTCTCCATGGATTTTCAGTAGTTATGCAAAACAATTTACCGCAAGAAACCAAAGGAAGTCCCAATCCCTCAGCAGCAGCAGCCCCTTTCCCTCTACCCAAGAACCTCTTCTCCCACCTATCTTCCAGCTCCCCAGTACTTGCTTCTGCATCTACATTCCTTGCCCCATATAAAAATCACAATTTTGGCTATATTGACTGCTGTCTCGCTAATTCAGATTGACAGGTTCTATGAGTGATGATGAAAATGGCTTATGACCTAGACGAGTGAAAAGACACTTGTTTTGATATTTAACCATCTGCTAGCTAGTTTCTAGCGCTGCCCTTTCTTTGTTCCTCACTTTGTTTCTGCTGTTGTTCAGTCATTTCAGTCCCGTCAACTCCCTGTGACCCCATTTGGGGTTTTCTTGGCAAAGAAAAGTGGTTTGCCATTTCCTTCTCAGCTCATTTTACAGATGAGGAAACTGAGGCAAATAGAATTAAGTGACAGGTCACACAGGTCACACAGGTAGGACGTGTCTGAAGCCACACTTGAACTCAGGTCCTCCTGACTCCAGGGCCTAAGCTCTATCCACTGCCCACACTTACCTTCGAGGATCCCTGGATGCTTGGTAATTGGGTTCACCCACTAACATGCTACAAATGGCTCCAGGTAGTATTTTTTTTCTTTGTTATTTATAATTTATTTTGCTTTATCAACAATCACTTCCACAAGCTTTTGAGTTTTAAAATTTTCTCCCTCTCCCTCCTCACCTTCCTCCCCAAGACTCTTCGAAAGATTTGAATGTAAAAAGAACTCTGGGAATCTTCCCCTTTAGGGAGATCCTAGAATACTTTTTAATCAGTTGGCCATTATCTGCCCTTACCGTTTCCTTATTATCCTTTTGTATTTATTTAATTCTCTGGCATTTTAAAACTAGAGAAGTGAATGGGGTTAAAAAGATTTGTACCCACTCTCCACACAGATATTAAAAGATAAACTAACTTAACATGAGTGTTTGAAGTTTTAATTCTTCTTATGTTTCTTAATTCTTAAAACTTAGAGATGGATACACTGTCTATGTGCTACTATTCCACGATATTAAAAGGGATTTCTCTTCTTCATTCAAACCTCAATCAGCAGGCACTGTCATCCCCTCAAAAAACCAAACACCGAACTGCCAAATAGCTTTCCACAGAGCCAAAGGGCTTTAGCCAAGATAAATTTTTAATCAGATAAGTGACTCTGCTGGGCTTTTAGCTGTTTGCTCCCCATAGATGAATAAAGTAATTTATTAGACTCAATATGCTTAAATGGAAGCTGCATTATTCAAGCATTAACTTGTTTCATGATCTTGGATAAGTCATTTCTCCCCAGGGCCAGCTGCCTTCTCTGTAAAGGGGACTGGGAAGAGAAGGGGTGATCTTAGATCTTCTTGTATTAACATTTTATGAAGGAGTTAAATAAAAAGTGACTTAATTAGTTTTATATAGGAATATTAAACATAAAAGATGATTCTTATTCTTCAAAGTATTTATCTTCTACTAACTTGATTAAGAGGAAAAAAATGGAAAACAAGCAAATAAAAAAAAACCCACCTATGCTGAACAGAAAGGAAATGAATACCACATTATCAGACTGCAAAGTGTGTAGGTGTGCTGCCTTAGAACTGACTTCATTTGAGAGTCCCTCCCCATCTCCCAACCACCTTGGCATGTCTTCCCATCTTCCAGCCCCTTCAGTCCCTGGCAGTGCTATTGAATAGGTTTAACTCTTAGGTTTGGAACTACTCTTTACCATGGAAGAAATGATGAAATATATTTTTAAAAAATCTGTGACTGGGAATCTTTCCTAAGCAAAAGGGGCACTTGGGTTTGTAGTTAATGTTCTAACATTGGAAACCTTAAGAAATATAAAAATTTGGGGAGAAAGGTATCATTCATCTGCTGGGACCCCTTCAGATAAATTTTTAAGTGTATTAGATCGATTGAAATAAGTGGCATTTTAACCTAGAAGGCTATCTTCAGATTCTGTTATGTGGCAGTTAAGTTGTGCAGTGAATAGAACACTAAACCTGGAGTCAGGAAGACTTGAGTTCAAATTCTGATGCTTCCCCATCTGTAAAATGGGTATAATAACAGCACCTACCTCCCAGTGTTCTTGTAAGGATGAAATGGGATCATATTTGCAAAGTGATTTGTAAACTTTAAGATGCTTTATAAATGCTAGCTATTGTTGTTGTTGTTATGGGGTATAGAAAATAAAGGAAGTAATACAAATCAACGGAGACTATTTATTGAACTTGATCTTTTTTTTCCCCTGTACATTTTCATCCTACAGATGCAGCTCCCATTCTTTAGTGAGGAAGGAGCTGTGTGTTATATGGACATGATGGTTTGGGAGATGAGCCCCATTAACTACCAAGATACGAGTTTGTATAGTGTGGATTTTTTTTTTGGGGGGAGGGTTATTTGTTAACTGTAGGTAAAAATGGGCCCTTCATCCCATGGGGCTCCATTCACTTCCACAGTGATAGTGGCAGTGTCAGATGGCATTCTAAGAATCATCTTTTTTTAGACCATTTACAAACATTTATTTAGCTGTTGGCTCTCTTCATGTCGGATTCTTGTCCAGTGATCCAGTGGGGGTACCTCCCCAGAGGAATTAGATCATGCCTACAGAACCACTGGAAGGTCTTTGTTGTGTTGGGTGGTCCCTTCGTGGAGGATTTCCTGAGAGCTAGGGAAAAGGTTCACCCAGGATAGTAGAACAGGGCGGCATTTCAGTCTACACCAGGTAATGAATAGCTACCCATAGCACAGCCAGGAGATTCTGATGAATGATTTGCTAACCCTAAGAGATGGTTTGTTAAGATTAGTTCTGGCACTTCAGATCCTTAGAGAGAGCAACTTAGGAAATTCTAACCAATTGCCCAGTCTTTTATTTTATTAATATATAGAATTTCTGCCCTGTTCCTCGTCCTCTGAAAGAGCCCTGAACTCCCGTTTGACTGCCTATTTCCCTAGCTTCCCTTGTCTGTTGTCAGACTCTAATTGTCCATTAATGAAGCTGGAGTCAGGAAGATCTGAGTTCAAAACTGGTCTCAGACACTAACTATCTATATGACCTTGAGCAAGTCACTTAACCCTGTTTGCCTCATTTTCCTCATCTGTAAAATGAGCTGGAGAAGGAAATGGCAAACTGCTCCAGTCTCTGCCAACAAAACCCCAAAATGGGGTCATGAAGAGTGGGACACAACTGAAAAAAAGGACTAAACAACAACAATGGTCCAGTAAAAATAATGTCAAGAATGCTAAAGTTCAGAGTAAATTGAGGTTGGTGAGGAAAGCTAAGACCTAAAGTTTTTTAAAGCTAGACTGAGCAAAAGAAGAGGATCAAAGAATAGATATACTACTCATGTAGGACCGGATAAGTTTAAGAGATGCCATAGAGAAGGCAACTCATTTTACTTGTTTCCTCTGCCAAGGAAAAAGATCGTTGGACTGGAAAGGACAGAATAAAAATGGCTGATGAGAAGTTTAAACTTGAGGAAAATAAGGAAATAGTAAAAGAACCTCTAGCTGCCCTCGATAAATTCGAGGTCCTAGGCATAGATGACCTACTTCCGAACTAACAGATGTGATTGCTAAGTCAGTACTACTGTTTTTCAAATGCCTATGGAGAACCTGAAGGGTGTTATAGAACTGAAGGGTAAATATGTCCTGGTTTCCTAGTTTTCAAAAAAGAACTTGGATGGAGTTTATAAACTACAGGCCAGTAAGGCTGAATTCAATTCTTGGAAAAATCTGAGCATGTATTATCAAAGGTATGGTTACTAAACAACTAGAAAAGAGAACAATGATCACAAACAATCATCAGAAACAGATATGCTGGATTAACCTTACTTAATCTTTTTTTAACTTTATGCTTTCTTTTTTCTTTTTTTTTTTTTGGCTAGGCAATGGGGTAGAATGACTTGCCCAGGGTCACACAGCTAGTAAGTATTATGTGTCTGAGGCCAGATTTGAACTCAGGACCTCCTGAGTGCAGGGCCTGTACTCTATCCACTCCACCACTTAGCTGCCCCCATTGCTTAATTTTTTGACAGGATGCCTAGACTACTTGATCAAGAAACAATAAATATATAGCTTAAGAAGATTCTGGAAAAGCATTTGACATAGTCTCCCTTGCTGTGTATGTGGAAAATATGGAGACATTTGGGTTAGATAATAGTAAATAGTATTGTGAATTTTTTGGGACTGGTTGAATGATTAGACCCAAAGAGTGGTTAGTAATGGCTTTAGGTCAGTTAGGAAGGAAGTGTCAAATAAAGTGATCCAGGGAGCTGTGCTTGGCCCGGAAACTGTTTAAAATGTTGATGGATGACCTGGGATAAAGGCATAGATAATAGGCTTATCTAGTGTAGAAATGTCACAAAGCTTGGGGAAGAGAGTTTGGAGAGGGGAATGGATAAGTAATAGATTAGATGACAGAATTAGGATGAAAAAAAAATCTAGAAAATTGGGCTAGACCTGATAAGATGAAATTTAATCAGGAGAAGTGCAAAGTTTTACATTCAGGTTTAAAATAATCTTCATAAACATAAGGTCAAGGAAGGAGAGCTGGCTAGATATTTTATCTGAAAAAAATCTGGATTTTTATTTTTAATTTTTTTCATCTAGATAGCAAACTTAAGATGAATTATTGTGTAGTATAATGGCCCTGGCACCCTAATATCATTTTTGACTTCATCAAGAGAAGGAATGGTGTTCAGACTTAGGGAAGAAAATACTCTTCCATATATGTTCTGTCTGGATGCCATATTTTAGGAAGGACATGGGTAAGCTGGAGAACACCTAGTGTAGGGTGATCAGGATGGTGAAGGACCTCAAGATCATGGCATCTGAGGTCTGGTTGAAGGAATTGGGGATGGTTAGCCTAGAGAAGAGAAGATATTCAGTGCATGATGGCCATCTTTTAGTATTTGAAAGGCTTTCACATGAAAGAAGATTCAATTTGCTCTGCTTGGCCCCAGATCACTTGGCAGTGTGATGCAGTGAACAGAACACCGAACTTGGTACTGATGTGGTTTGGGGTGCTAGAAATCCCGAAATACAAAGGTACAGAGTGGGTCAGCCTTAGAAGAATTCAAGCCCTCTTTCAAACCAAGTATCAAGTTTATTAGGACACCAGTTGGATAGGAAATCTGTGGTATTTGTAACACCAATACAAGAGGGCCAGATCCTAAGAATCTGCACATTTGATGAGGATGGGACTGATAAGGTCTGGATGGGATTAAGGAGTATCAAGTAAACTAATTAAGTAATCAGAGTGGGCTGAGGTGGGCCAGATGCCTTGGGCAGAGGCACCAGTGATCTGGGCTACTGAAATGTATGGGAAAATTCAGGGACTGGGTTGCTTTCAAAGACATCGTCTTTTCCTTTTAGTGGTTCAGATACTATCCCCATCGGTACCATAGGACTTGGGTCCAAATCCTGGTTCTACCACTTGCTATTTATGTGACCTTGAACAGTAAGATCTCATAGATATAATCTAATCTGACCTCCTCATTTTATGGATGTAAAAACTGAGGTCCAGAGATATTGAATGACTTGCTCAAAATCTTAAAGAGCTTCATAAATATGTTATTGTTGTTGTTGTTATCTATATCCTCCTTAACACTCAACGAATAGTAAGTAGCAAATCTCAGATTTGAACTCATACTCAACCCCAGACATAGCACTCTTTTTACTATATTTTTCACCTCTGAGATTCTTTCTAACTGTAAGATTCTGTGATTTAAATAAAATAATTCAGGAGAATGAGTTAAGTAGAATTTCAGTGAAGAGGAAAATAGTTCCAGGTAAATATATGGGGGGGGTAATTATGTAGAGGCTGGTAGCTGTCTTTAACCAATATAGAATACATAGAAATGGATTCTGTGGGCTCATGGGAAGGATGGGGTTGGATTTTAGGTTACACCTAGGAAATCACATTCACTCCCTGGAAAATTCTTAAATATTGGAATATGTTGCCAAAGAGGATGATTAATTTTCTTTCACTGGTGGTGGTCAAAAAATAGAATTAGCACATCTTCAGAGGGATTTAATGAGGTCCTACTTGGAGATCTGGAGATAGACTAGGTGATTTCTGAAGTAGATCCCATTCTGAAAGTAAACTTCTTGGCACTGCCATAGAATGGAAATGTTCAGGAAATGCTGGGTCAGTATGGTGCATATACTGTGGGTCTACCCAGTTCATTTATGGGAGTAGGAGATTCTCCTAGGACAGCTGTCTTACCCAGGACTTTCAAGTTGACACGGTTCCACTGGTAGCGCCCTGAATTCTTCACTTTGCAGATGTATTGGCCCTCATCACTAGGCTTCAGGGGCTCAATCTGCAGGGAGGCATCTCCTGCCAGGAAGTTGGAAGCAAAGGCTACACGTCCCTTCTGCTCTTCAGTCAAATTATTATAGACCTGGCGGCTGGAGTAGGTGATCACCTGTAGAATGGATAGGGGCAGGGTTAAATGCTATGGCCTTCAACCATTCTTACACTATTAAGCCTGAAGGAGGATCAGATACAGACACCTGGCACAAAAGTATGGACACCAATTTTTGCCCCTCCCCTACTTGGATTGGAAAAATCTAGCTAAAGTACCAGTACACTCTACACTCACCTATCTTCCTGGCAAAATTTCTCTTCCACTTCAACCCATACCTCTCTCCCATAGATCAGGACCTCTTTGGCCAGACATGGCCCAGGCACCAGAATGCAGGTCCCTTTATACTCTAGTGACTTTTTAAAGTCTCCATCTCTGCTATGACCCTGCTAGGTTGATTTCTCACTATCTCTGACAGAAAACATTCTGGGACAGTTGTCTTTCTGCCATTCACCAGAGGTCTGTTGTCCAAATGCAGAGCAGAAAAGAGAAATTAAGTCCTAGTTTATATGCAATTTTTGACATGTATAACTGGAGGACTTATAAGGTGGGTCATGTAGCAGGAATGAGGACCAACAGATGGACAGCTAGAGGTCTATACTGATACCCCTAAGATGATAAAAAAAAAAAAGCACCAGAGGAAATCTTTCATTAGGTTGAGTGGCTATGGAAGAAATAAGAATTGCATGGAAGGAGATAAACTTCAGTGGAATGAGTAACCATAATGATGAAACCACAGACCCAGCCAAGTATCCAAGTCAATGACTTATCTAGTCTCCAAACACTTTCCCATCTGTTATCATTTTTAGTAACACAGTAGCCTAGGGAGCAAGAGATGGATTATAGTTAACTCTTGGTTATTTGTGCCAATAAATGGGAACATTTGTATGGATAATTCAAGGAAATGGAAATTTTCAAGGTTTTTTATGTATCTCTAGAATGTATTATTATATGTAAGCCATATACTTACCATTTCAATTATATTTAGTCCTCTTACCTTATACCAACTAAGAAAAAACTCCAAACTTCCAACCTTGTCATCTTCGGAAACCTTTTGTCTTTCCTTCACTGCTAAACTTCTAGAAAGAGTAGTTTGCTTTCATTACTCCCCTTTCTTCACCACCCACACACTACTCAACCTCACTGCTTGACTAAAACTTCTCTCCCCAAGGTGACTAGTAACCTGTGAATTGCCAAATACTATGGCCTTTCTCACTCTATTGTCCTTGACCTTTCTGCTGAAGCGGATCAGACTCAGGACTTATTATGGACCTGGCGGCTGGAGTAGGTGATCACCTGTAGAATGGATAGGGGCAGGGATAAATGCTATGGCCTTCAACCATTCTTACGTTGTTAAGCCTGAAAGAGGATCAGGGATACTGACATCAGGCACAAAAGTATAGACATCAATTTTTGCCCCTCCCCTACCTTGGATTGGAAGAATCTAGCTAAAGTACCAGTACACTCTGCACTCAACTGTCTTCCTGGCAAAATTTCTCTTCTACCTCAACCCATACCTCTCTCCCACAGATCAGGACCTCTTTGGGATTTAAATTGTACCTCAAATACATGTGTGATCATGGGCAAGGTATTTCTTCTTTCAGATCATCAGTTTCCTTATCTGTTATTCTCACAGGGTTGTGAGGAAGGCACAGACTGTATGAATCTTAAAGAGCTTTATAAATATGTTATTGTTGTTATCTATATCCTCTTTAACATGCAACAAGCACTTAATAATCACTTACTAGGTACCAGGCACTGGTAGTAGTTACTGGAACTTAAAAATAAAACAGTCCTGATTCTCTAGTTGTTTACATTCTGCTGGGGGCAGGGCAGGGAGGACAGCATAAACACAGATAATTCAATGAAAAATACAAAGTACTTTCTGGATGGAAGTGGAAGAAGTGGGGGAGGAGGGAGACAGAGACACTAGCAACTTTGTAGGGATCAGGATAGGACTGGTGAGGGAGGTGATGCTTGATCTGAGCCTTGAAGGAAATAGGGGTTCTACCAGGCAGAGGTGAGGAGTGTGGAGAGCATTCCAGGCAAAGAGAACAGATGGCCTGTGCAGAGACAGAGCTGGAAGATGGAATATCACGTCCAGGGAACTAGGCCACTTTGGCTGGTACATGGTGTATATGGATGAGAGTGCTGTACAGTAACATTGGATATTTTCTATTTCCCTGGTTTTGGTGACAATGCTCTCCCCTCATTCTACTCCTTTTAACTGCTTCTTTTGTTCCTTAGCTCTTTCATCCTTCTCATCCTGTCCCCTAAGTGTGGGTGTCCCCTTCGGACTTCTTTTCTCTTCTTCTAAGGGAGTAAGTACAGTGTAGTGGAAAGTCAGTATGTAGTGGGAAAAATATTGGAGAAACCTAGGTTTGAATTTCTCCTCTGACATTTAATAGCTATGTGACACTGGTCAAGTCTCTTAACCTCTCTGAGTGAGACTCATCTGAAGATACCATATTGTATCTACCTCATGGACTTGTGAGAATCAAAAGAAATATATGCAACATACTTTAATTTCATCAATTAGGACTCATCTTATTATTTATAATAAATAGATACAGTTTGGAAGGGCCTGGAAAAATCTGCCTCTGACACATATTCCTTGTGTGACCAGGAGCAAGTTACTTAATATCTCAGTTCCCCAGTCAAGGCTCTTAACACTATAAGTTATGTGGGGCAGCTAGGTGACTCAATGTATAGAGCACTGGCCCTGGAGTCAGGAAGACCCGAGTTCAAATCCAACCTCAGACACTATCTGTATGACCCTGGGCAAGTCACTTAGCCCTGATTGTCTCAAAAAATAAAAAAAAATTAAAAAACCCCCCCAACAACTGTAAGTTATATACTTGCAGTTGGGATGGGAAAAAAATTATAATATTTGGGCTTGAATCCCTGGTCTGCCACTGGTAGGTAGCTCTGTGACCTTGGAAAAGTTCAACTTTCTGAACCTCAGTTTCCTCATCTGTAAAATAGGGATAATAATAACTTCACTACCTCACTGAGTTATTGAAAGGAGAAAGGAAACATTTAGTCAGGGCACTGGAATTTGCAAGACCAAATTTATGTAGCAGTAAGAATTTAGCCTAAATATTAAGAAGCTTTGATACAGAAAGTCATAGGAGACTAGAAAGATTAAAATATTCATCAAAGGTGGAGTTAAAACCTCCCCAGGAAACTTAAGGAAAGAACAAATGAGCTATTTTTCTAGGCTAGGCAAAAGGACTATGGAGGCAGAGACAGATTAGGATAGCACTGCATTTGGACTTGGGGACTTCATTACCTGTGTGATCTTAATAAAATAATCTTCTATTTAACTTCAGTGGACCTTCGTTTTCTCATTTATTAAAGTGAGGGAATGTTGGATGACCAGATGATCGCTGAGATCCTTCTCAGCTCTAAATTTCTTGTTCTTTGATTCCAGAATCTTACCTCTCCATATTCTCTCCCTAGTAAAGGTATTACTCCACAATGGCTTCATTTTTCACCTCTGTACTGATGACTTCTAATTCTATTACTCCAGCCTCAGTCTCCAGCTCCCTGCTAGACCCTTCACCTTAATGTCTCATCCTTACCTCAGTTCAATACAGGCAGAATGAAACTCATCACCTTTGCTTGTTCTCACTTCTCTATTTCAGGTGATGACACCACCATTAGGGTTTCATGGTATGTTGTGGTGTCACCATCTCAAAGAATTCAGTCAGACCATCTCTAATCCAAGTACAGGTTTTTATAGAGGATTGATGTCCCTCAGAAGCAGGCTAGGTTCCAAGAAGAACCAGCAAATTAGTAAGACAACACAGGCACATTTATAGTGTAATGATGCTGATTACATAACAGAAATTATGAATATAAAAAAGGCAGGAGGGGTTTGTTAAGGGATTAGGTAATAGGGGAGATGCCTCAGCCTCAGTGGAACTATGCATGTGATTACCCACAGTGCATACAGAAAAATCCATTTGGGGGGGTATGTATGTATGATAATGATATTATAATAAGTCTCTCTTCATCATAAGTTCACCTAAAGGACACCTTTTGCTATTACTTCGAAGGTGGCTACTTAGGGAAAGTCCCTTCTATTGTTTTGGGGTCTGCATCCTGCGTGGGCATCCTAGTGGTGCTGCTTTCTGATTGGCTGACTATTGTGGTCCTGTCTGAGACTAGGTGGATGTGGTTGTGGTTGAGTGCATGGACAACACCTCCCTGTTTCTGTGGGAAATATGAGGAATGGGTCTGGGGACAGTGGCTAGCTAGAGGCAGTGGCTGGGATCCTATCACATGGACACGCCTGCTGTTCTGTGAAAAATATGAGTTCATGGACACACCTGTTTTTCTAGTGAGCAGTCAGGCATATATGAAGAAGTTAGGGTATTGAGTGGAGGGGAACAGTGGCTAGGTAGGGAAGAGTGTCTATATTGAATCTGGGGGCCCGTAGTGTGGTTAAAGCCAGATTGTGTGGTTAAATCAGGATATGCCTGCTGTTCAGTGGGGCCCATAAGGAAGTTAGAATATTGGGGTTGGGGGCAGCTTTATTAGGATTCTATCAACACCATCCTATTAATAGGCATTTATTAAGCATCTACTATGTCAGTCAATAAGCATTTATTAAGCACTCATTATGTGCTAAGTACTGAGGATAAAAAGAAAGAAGCTCAATTATCTCATAGTCTAGTGGGTTTGACAACTTGCAAACAATCCTGGAGATAATCTCAAAGGGAAGGCACATAGATGATGCATTAGGAAAGGCTTCCTGTAGAAGGTAGGACTTTAGCTGAGACTTGAAGGAAGCCAGTTACCCAAGCTCCTGAAGTGATCTTTGATTCCTTCACCTCCATATGCAATCAGTCAGATTCTTTGCCTATAATATATCTTCCATGCATGCAGGCTGTCTTCCTCTCCCAGCCACTACTCTCATTCAGGTCTGGGCCATCCCCATGCTAATAGCTTCCTTAGTCCCAGGTCTCCACTCTCTCATTTCTTTGTTCCACCCTCCACACATCTTCAAAAATAGACTCCCTGAGGAGGTCACCATCACTCCCATCCTTCTAGTT